ACTTTCTGAATTATTTTTTTTTTTTTTTTGGCTTTCTTTTTTCGTTTTTTTTTTTTAATTATTTAAACGGGTTGGCTCGAGTCGACGAGCCTGATTGTCATTCCTAGGTGGAGGGAAATAATTGACTACCAAAAAACTGATTTTTTCAAGGTCTAATTAATGTTTGCATCTGTCCTTCTGTAATAACTCTATCATCCATGTCTTTACACAGCAAAATATGAAAAGTTCAGTGATTGATTTGGAACAAATTTATGTAACAATCATGCTAAAAGTACGGAAACTTTGACAGACAAAACATGGCAAGAATTGATTAAAAGATGGAAGAATTGAAATAATTGACTACCAAAAAACTGATTTTTTCAAGGTCTAATTAATGTTTGCATCTGTCCTTCTGTAATAACTCTATCATCCATGTCTTTACACAGCAAAATATGAAAAGTTCAGTGATTGATTTGGAACAAATTTATGTAACAATCATGCTAAAAGTACGGAAACTTTGACAGACAAAACATGGCAAGAATTGATTAAAAGATGGAAGAATAAAGCCACTCGTCCAGATTTAAAAATAGTGGAGTGAAGAAACAAACTTATGTATTAGAAAATGATTGAATGTTTTTGTCTTAATTTTTCAAACTATCCAATAATGTATCGACACGTATTCCATCTGGATTTGAACTTGAATTTGAGTTTGAATGTGTAGCATGATTGAAGATGGAAGAAGAATAAAGAAAACAATCCAATCATCTGCAACCACGTCAGCGTAGAGATAAATTTTGTCAAGAATTCCCTATGCTCGTGGCTTTTTCCTTTATGTAATTATCAACATGAAATTAACTTAAGTTGAATGGCCAATTTGAAAACAAAATAAAGTTAAATGACCAACTCGAACATCAAATAATGTACACTCATCTGTCGTAAGCCTCGATGCCATGGCCACCCAAAACGTTCAACATCGCATACTGCATCATAAAGGTCATTACCGTCTACGTGTTTGGCAAATCAATGTCATCTCGTCCCTACAAATCACTTGATCGATTATAGCATCTCAAGTATCCTCCGCGGCATGTTTAGGAGCAAAAATAGTGCTCCCTTAGCAATTGATGCATGGAAGTGCAAGTAAGATGAATGAAAATGTGATCGACAATTTTTATTTTTTTATTTCATGAAAAACTTGGATCAAGAAATTTAAAATAAATAAATAAATCGAACAGTTTAATATATTATTTAATCAAAACCAAACATGAATTGTACCTACGCTCTTCTTTAACATCTAATCACCAAAGCTCGATGAAAATTGAATCTTTGCCTGTCCAAACACCTAAAAACATATTAAAAGATACCTCTAAGTTGCTGAACTCCCAATTATATTATTGTACACCCTATTACAAGGCAACACTGCATGCATGAAAAGTATTCCACAATGGCTACTTCACTTGATAGATGGAAATCTTCAAAACAATTTATGTATATTACAAGAGGAAAATCCTCAAGCTTAGCTATACCTTCAGAAGTACACGCGGAAAAATAAATATATATCCATTATATCTATTTCCAAAAGCATACTACAGCAAATGAGAGAGCCTGCCACTTAGTCGAACCATTGGGACTTGGTTTCCGATTGAGAGATGTCGCTGAGAGGATCCTGCAAAGTATTTACAGTGCAACCAATCCCAACTGTAGAAGTAAAAGAAACTTAGATCACGTTCCTGAGATCTGCTCAGATAAATGGGTGATAAATGTGAGTTTCCTTGAGTCTTTTCAGTCCAACTTGATACTGGCGGCAACTCCAGTGCCAATTATTTAAGTTCTTGCTTTGTGACAACCTCTATCTGTACAATATTCTTTAATTTGGGTGTGTGTTGCATGTCACTATTGGCAGAGAAATACAAAAGCCACGGAAGAAGACCCTCAAATTTTCTATTTCCACAAAATATGGACCAAGCTCCTATTCAGCAAAATGATGCCAAGACAAGTCTGGTGCACTAAAATATGCAGTAATCGCTTTGAATCTGCCATTCAAGAAGTTCTTCTCCACCTGATTACCAAAAATTGTCAAAATCAAAATGCAAAGAGCGGAGTGTCATTGACCAGACATTTAGAAGAAGTCATTAGTGAAAAACGTAGTTGAGGCTAGAGAAACAATAAGATTTATCATTTTCAAAAGAGTTGTAAGCAAATCATATAGGAAATGTGCAGCCTTTTTCCAAGAATAAATAGTAGATTCCCATACTAAAGACTAGAAAATCATTACTACTTCTACTGTATTGTTACTACAAAGTTATTCTGCTAGAATGAGTACAGGAAGGGGGGGAATAAAGCGGCTCCAACCTCTGTAATTACACATGTTTGTCTTTTACGTTCTCATTTTTTTCTTTTGTTATACTTCTATCTCTGAAATCTTCTTCCAAACAAGGGGGCCGGGGTCGGAAAGGCATTAACGTAGCATTGAATGCGGGGAAAAGTTTAAAAAGGGTACCTCTAAAGACCATGGAGGGGAAGCAGATAAAGACAACTCTGCCAATTGGCTGATATCAACATTCCGCGGGAGAAACATGATGATTCTGGAAGCGATTTCCTTCCCCACATTGAATAGAAATTGTCTGATAATAATAATAATATAAATGAAACATAATGTTAGCATCACAAGTAAAAAGCAGATGTGCCACATTGGCGAAACAGAGACATACCCATCACGTGGCTTAAGCATAGTGTTGATGTCAAATTTCTTCACTTTTGCATAATCAGGACCACCCCAAGGTGGCGACATAAAGACAATGTCTGCCTGCAGCCAAGTAAATATATAATTATGCTTAAAAATAGGAGAACATCTTGGACATGAAATGTTGAAGAAGGGAGAGAAGAAGAAAATTTGCAATCACAGAGAAGTGTTTCATATACTAGAAGGTACAACCACAAAAACTGAAGTTCAATTATTAAGCGTCATAAATTTAAGTGGCAATTTCAAACCAAAAAGAGAATAGGAGCTGGATATCTTTCTCAAAGTGAATTTCATTGCTCAAAATGGATCATATAGAAATGGGAAGATTAAAATTGTTCCTCAGTTATATGTCATTACACTAAGAACATAGAATAATCATACCTTCAGCCTTGGTGCCAAACAAAAAGAGTCACCCCTTATGAAATCTACACGGTCATCAACTCCATAGAGAGCTGCATTATGTTGTGCATAGCCAATTCTATTTGGATCGATATCAATTGCAATCACATGTTTACTCCTGAAAATAAACAACATAAAAAATCTTAGTCACCATAACGAATTTAAACTTTTAAGGGACATGTCACTTGCAAATTCCAAATTTCTGAATGCAATTCATATCTACACTAGGGTCCATGAAATGCAATTGTTTCTATTTTAAAATCTTCAATTATAGTATTAATGATTACATTAGTGCAAAATTGTTTATAAACTACTTAGGAATAATATTAATAAATGAATAATCATTTAATTGATTATCATTTAACTGATTATTTGAGTTCAAATTTATTTGTCAGTTCTTCATCTTGAGAAATTTCTTTTGATATTTAGAAAATTGTTCCGTTAATTGTAATATTAAAATATCTTGTTTACTCTTTTCATTTTCTGTATTAACTTGTTTTACTCGTGTTCTAAATCATTCAATTCATTTTGCAAACTCTGTAAAGTAACTAAATTTAATGTTTCATTTCTTTGAGGAACTTGCTTACAACTTTTAAACATGTAGGTGCAGTTGAAAGAATCTCATCAGCTTTTAAAGGTATTCTTGTTCGATATCATATCTTTTAATTTCATATAAATTGAGTTTTTAAATGTGAATTATGTAATTTTATCTTGTTTTGCAATCACACACACGTTCATTTGTTTGCTATAAAACCATGGTCCAGAATAAATAATCATAATCTATTCCAATATCATAAGAAGAAAAAGTTTTATCAGATTCAAGATAACTGGTAGTTAGGATTTAAAGGTTTGTTTGTTTTTCCAGAAAGGAGAAGATGCTGGGTTAGATGATTGAGGTAGGTTATTTATTTTCGGACCTTCTATCTTTGTTGGGTCAAAAGATTTTTCTTGTAACATGTAGCGTGTAATTATTCAAAACTATATTGTTCACTCCAATTTTTGTAATTCTCTTCTACCAGTAAGCCGTTGTTCTTGTATTTGATTTTTGGGTAAAATATCTCAGCATAATCTTAATCCTGTAGCATTAATAGGACTTCTATGATCATATATCAAATCTTGAAATCCACATCCACGTACCAGTCCCTACTCCGCAATAGAATCTATGCCCTTGGGGAAAATAATTTAATCATCTTGAAATAAATATTTCTAACGACCAATAAGTGTTGGAAGTGTGTCATCATATGACATATTACACAACATCTAGAATTATCATTTCCACAGATGATTATTAGGGAGATATCTAGATAGTCTACTCACAGCTGCTCTTCCTAATGTTGAAGCCTCAAAGTGGCAGAGATTACATTAGAGGAAATGATATGAATAATATCCAACGTCTAGTCTCAAAAGGATAAAGAAAGGACAGAACAAGCAAACATCCACAAAGGTTGGCACAATTAGGAACTTAAATTGTTCATATAAATAAAGAGGAAAACAGAAGCTAAAAGAGGAAAACAGAAGCTAAAATCAGTCTCACCGTTGCGCAAATTGGATTGCATTTCCACCAACTCCCGTGAAAAAATCAACTATGGAACCGCTGCCACAACGGGATGCATGATGCTTGGCTATTAGCTCCGGAGTTGCAGAAAACCATCCTTCTTCATCCATTTTAATACCATTATCGTATCTCGAGAACAGAAGGTACCTTTGACTCCAATATTTACCTATACTGGGAGAAAATTCTTCCAAAATTCCTTCGAGCTCTGAGGAAAACAAGACAGTTAACCAACGGAGAAACAGTAATGAAAAGCAAAAATACTAATAACACCACCACCACAACCCATATATAAAGGCACTAGCGCCAGCAGTAATTTCCATCTGAAATCAGATGTCTTTGGTATGAAGGGAAGCTGATATTAGAAAAATTGTCATCTTTCAATAAATTTATCACAGAAACCTACGAGAGCCCCTTTATAAAGGAAATGTGACAATATGCTCTACTTGCAATAGAAAGCTTTTTTTTTTTTTTCCCTATCGGTAGCAATAGAAAGCTTTATGTCGCACTATGTCTAATTGTGGTGAAAGTGGCAAGGAATAGTTTAACCTGAAATAGTGAAATTGCTTCTAATTCTAATGCATTTCTGGGACTTTAATTAAGGCTATTAATATTTATACTAGGAAGCAACATTCCTGTCATTGTTAGAAAGTACTCCATTGTGTATCTACTATCTACTAAAGCTTTCTATTAGTCCCTTCTAGAGCAAGAGAAGCGACTGACATCTTCAGATACGCTATCAAGCTAATGATAAGATTAGGAATTAATATGCAATTTTTGTCATGCATAAACTAAGTTATCTGGAACAATAATCCTGAGTAAACATGAACGGCTAGGCAGAGATAATAAGTTCTTTCTTAATGCTTTCTTTAAAATTGAAAATAAAAATCAGTAACTCCGATAATGATGTCAAGATGCACTATGGGATTTATCAATTGAAGAGAGCAAACTTCTTTTGTTATTGGAACAAAAAATGTCATTATTCACAATTTCACTTATTCTTAGTCAACTTAAGCTGCATACTGCTCAAAAGAAGGGGAAAAGGACAGACCTCATTTCGCCCCCATAAAAACATAATTGATTATGATTAATCATTTGGCTTGTGGACATGATAATATAGTAAAAGAAATTAAACTGCAGGGTGGGCAAACCTTCACTTGGAACAGACAAGTTTCTATTAGATTTTGTTCTTCGGGCTTTCTTTTTCTTTTTTGTACTGTTGGTACTAGAGAAATTGTCAGCAAAAAAACAGCTCTTGACAGTCTGACCAAAGTGTTGATCAAAGCCATTGTCATCTTTGTATTCTTCAGCAAAGATAGGAAAAGGTTGAAAACCACAAGAAATTTGCACATTATCAGATTCTGTGGAATCTGGGAAGTCATCATGCAATTCAGCTATCTCAGCTGCTGTCAATATAAGCTCATTAGCAATGGGACTAAATGCAGGGTCTTCCATTCCTGAAGGCAGGTTCCATGTAGACTCCTGTGTTTTCACATTATAAAAGTAGCTCCTCGCGTAAAAATCATCCCAACGTGTTATCCATTCTTCAGAATCACCTTTGCAACTGCTGTCTGTCTTGTTAGAATTGACTTCTTTAGAAAACTGTGAATATGCAGCAGAATCACAGTGCTGTATCATGTCACTGCCAATGTCATCCGTGTGTTTTACACCTTCAGTTTCTCTTTCCACCGCTGAAGGAGACTCCAGATGGACAGACTCCAATGCTGGTTCTGTTAATTCCTTTCCACCACAAACAGCAGTATCCACTACCATCATATCATTTGTAAATGGACTGGAGTTAGTCTCAGAGACTTCATTCAATAAAACTTTACTAAATTCAGAGCTGCAATCCAAATCATGGTCAAATTTAAGATCAGATACTTCATCATTACAATCATGTTCATTGAGGAGAGCACAAGTACAACATGCAATTGAACAACCCAAATCCTTTTCTTCACTGCAGAGGTTATGAAATCCTTCAATATGTGCCGTAACTTCACACTTCAATATTTCATTTTGGTTAGGCATTGAATTATCATGTAAAATATCAAGAGACCTTCCCACCTCACTCACTCTCATTGAATCCAGAACATTGACATCATCATCATTCATGCTAAATTGATCCTTCTTTCTTGAATCTTTCCTTCTCCGACTGACCTTTCCATTTCTCTTCAACAAAACAATATCGCAATGTCAGAGAAGACAAAAATTAGTATCTCTATTAAAGAAAGAAAAAAGTATACTCTTATGGAAATACTAAGAGAAAGCAATATCAATTTTTCATACATTTAAAATGACCACTTCACAGCAGCTATATTACCTGAACAATAAATAATACCAATGAAGCATCGCCATTGTCAAGACCCTTTTTTCTTCTCCCAATTTTCCATTGTTAATGCAACTAGGACATTCCCCTCACCAAACAGTTTACAAGTCTAGACTTTACAATGGACTGGAGGTGGATAGACATGTTGTGATTGTAGAGAATAAAGATCTGAAGAAATAATAGCATGCTCAATTATTCTACTATTGACTTGAACCTTATATAGGAGTAAGAAACCTTAACTCAGTACAATACAACATCTCTAATTTAACTAGACTATAACAATTGGAGATAAGAGTTATCACTATACAATATGAAGATTAATACAATATAAAGAGAATGTCATTATACAATAAAAAAAATGTAACTATAAATACAAAAGGAGTTATAGTTTATCTCTGACATGCCTCGCAAAATGGTGAAGTCATCAGCTACACCAAGTAGTTTAAGTGAGTTTTAGATAGTGTTTTGGTCAGCAAATCAGCTAGCTGATTCTTGGTGAAGAAATGGGAAACGCAGACTCGCATTTTGTACTCGGTCATGAACAAAGTGAAAGCCAATTTCTATATGTTTCATTCTGGAGTGGAACACAAGAGTCGAGTAGAGAGGTGGTGCCCACATTGTCGTAGTTGATAACTGGAGGAGCACAGGTAGAGATTCCAAGTTCCCCCTAGAAGAGATTTTATATATAAGACTTCTGAATCAGATAGCAACAGCTCGAACTCAGCCTCAACAGAGGAACAAGTCATAGAGCTTTGTTTCTGAGTTCCAGGTAATGGAATTATGACCAAGAAACGCAACATGGGCAGTCATGGAGGTAAGGTACTCAGCATTTCCAGCTAAATCTGAGTCAAAGAATGTATGAAGAGTCAGTGAGGAGCCACAGTGAAGGCAGAGTCAGTGAGGAGCCCCATTGAAGGGAGAGGCCGTGATCAGGGCGCTAGAAAGATATCTCAATAGGTGTTTGACTCATGCCCAGTGATTGGACAGTGCATGAACTCAAATAAAATGTTATCCCCAAGGCAAAGTCAGCACAAGTGAGTAGGAGGTATTGGAGGCGACCTACAACCAGTCGAAATTCAATGGCATGAATGAGAGAAGTGCCATTTATTATGCGCAGGAAGGTGGATGGGGAAATTGGAGTTTGAACTGGGCGGGAACCATGCATTTTGGTATGATGTAACAGGTTCTCAACATAGTGATCCTGAGAGAGAGAGACCAATGGAGGAGTGGATCACTTCTACACCTAAAAAGGAGAGTGAACCGAGATCTTTTAGAACCAAAACCCAAGGCCAGAGATAAACTCACTGATAAAGTGCCCATCATTGCCAATGACAATTATGTTGTGATTGAATATGAATTGGGAATGAATATGAATGGGAAAGTGTCGGAGAGGGAATTGACAAACCCCATTTCGAGAAGGAAGCCACGAAGTACTTGGTACCAAGCCTGAGGCCCCTGCTTGAGACCATAAGTGGCCTTGGGCAAGCAATAGACATGAGTGGGTAGAGTTTTATCAGTGATGCCCGAATTGACAAACTGATGCTGGCAACACAGAACGGATTTCAAATTAATTTTCACTAATTTTAATACCCCTAATCCGATGTCATCAAACGAGGTATGTGTTTCAAACTGAATATCTGTAAGTTGTTAGCTCAAGCATTTTATATTAAGTTGCTAGCCCAAGCATATGACTGCAGAAATCAATGAACAGGTGCATAAGAGTGAAATTATTTTTTAATACCTCCTTGTTAGTCTGGAAAGAGAGTGGAAGCCCCCATTCATTAAGTTGCTTGGCTAGTTCCACATCTTCCGGCAATGAATGAAACTCTGAGAACGCAAAATAAGTCCAAAAGGAGAACTCTTTAACACAAATTAAAGGACAGCAAGTAAAAATTTCATTGTAGATGCCAATTAAAACACCCATAACTACAATAAACCGATGTAAATGAGACTGTTCAACAGATGAACAAAACTTGCCATTACCTGTGGAGGCATCGTTCTCATTCTTTTCAAAATCATCATCATCATTTCGCTTCTGCAATTCATAAACACATGGATAAATAAATCAAATATATGGCATTAAACAAGTTTACAGAAAAACCTACCGTTGGTTCTTGAAAATATGGAACTTCTCGTACTTCTGTTGAGCCATTGTCCCTGTTAAGCAAGCAATTCGAGTTGATATTCGCAAGGTCCTGAATATTCAAATTAATTATGATAGGAAAGAGAAAATTTGAGCCTTTACCGCAAGTAAACTTCAGTGAATTTAAAGAGAGAGCCAAGAGCTTTGATGGTTTCTGCTCCGTCCAATGAGAATTCCATATGCTTGAATTCTTGAATAGGGTTTTGCTTCAGAATCTAAGGTGCAAGTATGTATGTAGAGTTTAACAAAAACCCTTCCGGGTTTGCCGAAGAAATCCGCAAAATATTATTATGACGCCGCCGGCAATCAACTTTAATTCAACGACATAGGCCAAAGCTTGGGAATTAACCCAAGTTAGATGGCTGATTACAAAAATAAGTTGGGACGTCACGTCCCTGATATTTTAATGAATTTTAAAAAAAAAATTCTAAATTCAGCCAATTCAAATAAAATCTAGGCGTACCGGAAGGATTTCAAACTTAAAAATATATATAACAATTTCTTTTTAAATTTTACCATTTTTGACGGAATTTTATGAATTTTGTGAAAATATATTCAAATTCATGAAATTCATTAATAGAGGTGTCTTGAGCTTATATTTTGATGGATTTTTAAAAAAACTCTAAATTCAAGTGCCCCTAATTGAGATTTTTCATTAAAATCTAGGTATTCCAACAGAAAATTTAATTAATTTTATTCATTAAAATTTAAGTGTCCTAAAACACCAATAGATTTATATAAATTTCATTAAGAGTGCGTTTGATTGTCTATATTTTCTATGAAAAATGTATTTTTCACTCAAATTTTTACTTTTCTGCTATTTGATTTCCATTTTTTTCAATGAAAAATATTTTTCCACTTTTGATCACGTGATCATATTTTCTTCAAAATCAAAGAAAATATTTTTTTAAGAAGAGTATGATTTTATTTTTCACGGAATCCACTCTCTTTTTCTCTCTCTTATTTATTCACTCTCTCTTATTAACCCACCAATAAAAAATTGATAAGTATAATATTTTCTAAGTTATAAATTAAATCAATCAAACATATTTAATTGACAATTTCCATACAAATAAATTCTAGGCAATTAAATTAGTTATAATTTATTTTCTTTCCATACAAATTTCATGCTTGCAATCAAACGCATCCTAATAGAAGAATTAAAAGATTTGAATTATTTTCAAACTTATAATTATGTATAATAAATTATTTTCAAATTTCACTATTTTTAATAAGATTCTTGTGGATTTAGTGAAAATTTATTCAAATCCATGAAATTTATTAAAATTTATAATCTTTTAAAATCATTTTAAATGTCATTAAAATAATGAAATTTCAAAATAGTTTGTTACAATTATTTGTAATTTAAGCTTGAAATTTGTTCAAATCTTTTAAAGTAACTCTATTAATGAAATCATTATAAATTCATTTGTTGTTGAGATACCAAAATTTTTAAGGATTTCGTTAGAATTTTAGTTGGGGACACCTAACTTTTAATTGGGAACACCTGAATTTAGAAGGATTTTTTGAAATTGGCAATTATATTTACGCTATAATTGTTATTTTTTGCACAACATTTTAATTGCATTTAAGATTCTTAATTTTTACTCATTTTTAGCACTATATCCTCAAGGATTTTTTATGTCATTTTTATCTCAAAATTTTCATTAGTTAACACATTTTGTATTCGATAACAGTTTTTTGTTCAAAAATTCATTGAAATTGTGTAAAACAACTTATTTTCTCATCATATTTTCAAAAAATAAATAAATTAAGAGTACGAAAATATATTTTTCCCTCATTTCAAAGCATGAAAATAAAATCTTCCTTTTAAAAATGAATAATTTTTTATTTGAATTAAAATAAGCAAAAAGTAAATTGTCAAAACTTGTTTAACAATTTCTTTCACCAATATTTGAACTCAGCTTAATTATTTGCAAATGAAATTGTCGACCTTCTTGTCGTAGCGGAGCTAAGTTGGGGGTACTAAAATTTGAGAATAATTCTTTTTATGTGACTTTTTAATTATGTAGTTTTTATATTTAATATTATTATTTTATGTTTGAAAAAAAAAAGAAATCATAAATAAATTAGGCTTTCGCTAAATTCTAGTGCTTGCTCCGCCATTGCTAGCACATTTTTATATGGAATAATGCTATTTACAATCACTTATTACCACAGTCGTCCTACGTGGCATGCATGTGAATGTTAGTGATTTGATATATGTAGTAAAAAAAAATTACTAAACTAATACATCAAATCACAAGCTGTCATATAGGATGTTACGTAGAATGATTACCACAGTAAAAGACCATAAATAGCATTACTCTTTTGTATGTTCTTAGAGGTATCAAAGCTATTTTTGCATTTCAAAATAAACTAGTCGTTATCACGTACGTTGCACGAATTTTCTATTTATCGTATTTTTATTAATGTATGAATTTTAGTTTTTTTGGAATGTTTTTGAAGCAATATCTAAAAATATTTCAATAATATAAAAAAATAATTGTAAATTTTTTTTACAATTGTATAGCAATATGTTATCTAGAAAAAATATGTTTGTATATTTCATACTCGAATAAGAAATATACAAACTATTTTGCTTGTATTCTTTCATAGTATTGATATGATTGAATTGAATGTAAATATTATATTTCTAAATTTTGTGTAATTCAATATTTTAAAATTAAAAAAAAAACTTTATGCAGAGTGCGGAGTAAAAATAAAAAAATGTGCGGAGAGAAAAAAATCTCTTCGTACAGTGCGGAGAGAGTTGAACCATGTGCGGAGAGTTGTCAAACTCTTCGCACAGTACGGAGTAAAAAAAAAACTCTCCACACAGCACAAAAAGATGACAAACTAATTCTCCGTACAATACAGAGAGCAAAAAAAAAAACTCTTTGCACAGTGTGGAGAGAGTTAATCTCTTCGCACAGTGCAGAGAGTGACTCCGCACCATGACAAAACTCTTCGCACAGTGCGGAGAGAAAAAAACTCTTTGCACAGTGTGTAGAGAGTTGCATGTGCGGCGTAAAAAAAAGTGCGAATAGAAAAAAACCTCTCCGCACAGTGCGGAGTAAAAAAACTCTCCACACAATGCGGAGAGATAACAAACCAACTCTCCACACAGTACAGAGAGAAAAAAACTCTCCGCACAGTGCGGAGAGTTGTTTTCAAATTTCTTAATTACAAGTCAAATTTCAAGATTGTAAATTTTTCGTTTATACAACGAAACAAAGTCGAAAAACATAGTTTAAAATCAATTATGTCTTTTTTTAAATTCCAGTTACAGTTCAATTTCTAAGCATGCATATCATATTTACGGTATTGGAAATGAGTTTTCTCGTAATTCATACAATGAAACAATATATGAGTTATGCAAAGAAGTGGATATTGATAATGCCATGGCATTGCTTTCACAAATGGAGGTTCTAGGGTACCACCCAAATTCAATATTTTACACTTCCTTGATAACAGCTTTTGAACATTAGAAGCGAATACAATTTTCAAAGAAATTATACTTTTGGGGTGCTAAATGCATTGCTCAAAAGTTGTTTGAGAAAAGGCCTCTTGGAACTTTCAGATAAAGTTTCGAGTTTTTGTTTTTTTTACACTGTGCGGAGAGATAGTTTGTCATCTCTCAGCACTTTGCGGAATCTTTTTTTCTCATGTGCGGAGATTTTTTTTTGTGTCTCATGGAATTTATATATACTAAAATTATTTTTTATTTTATGTTGTTAACATAATGTGTGTGTGGAAGAATATTTGTCAATCACCATAAACAAAATTCTTCACAAAATGCAAAAAAATAAAAATGTATAAAAAATCTTCTTATTACGCTAATAAAATTACAATAATTTTTTTTTACAAATAACATAAAAAAATCATTTTTCTCTTCAACAAAAAAAAAATATTTAAAAATTAGCAATTTCATAACCACTTTTTTTTTTTAATTCTAGGAAATACAATTATAAAAAAAGAAATAATATTGAATTACAACATTTAATACTTAAGAAATTCAATATTAAATAAATTTTATACATTTATAACAAATTATAAATCCATATATACAGCTTATCGTATTTGGAGGCAACTTACCGTATATGCTGTCTATCGTATTTGCAGCCCACCGTATTTGTAAACAACTTACCGTATTTTCACCTTACCGTATATGCTGCCTACTGTATTTGCAACTTTCTGTATATGCTGCCTACTGTATTTGCAGCTTACTGTATTTTTATATACCGATTTTTGCATTTACAAATATCGAGAATACAGAATACCGTACAATCACTTACCAAACCAAATTTCAAAAAAAAAATTTAGATTTTTATTTTTTTCAACATAAGCATAAAATAAATATTAAATATATATGAAGCACAAAATATAAATGCATATGAATATGATACTCAATTTTCAATTTTCCAATATTGAATTACACAAAATTTAGAAATATAATCTACACATTCAACTCAATCATATCAACATTATCAAAGAATACAAGCAAAATAATTTGTATAATCTCGTATATTTCTTATTCCAGTATGAAATATACAAGTATATTTTTTCTCGATGACACAATATTGTTATGCAATTGTAAAAATAATTTACAATTCTTTTCTTGTATCATGAAAATATTTTTAGATATTGTTTAAAAAATATTCCAAAAAATTAAAATTCATACACTAATAAAAATTCGATAAATGCAAAATTCGTACAACACACGTGACAGTCACTGTGCGAAGAGTTTTTTTTTAAACTTCGCACTGTACAGAGAGTTTGTCAACTCTCCGCAGTGTGCGAAATTTTTTTTTTGCTTTTTTTACTCCGCACTGTACGGATAGTTCGCACTTTGCGAGGAAAGTGTCCGCATAGAATGTCATCTCTTCGCATTATGCGGAGAGATTTTTTTTTTACTTCGCACTGTACGGAGAGTACTATGTGGAGAGTTTTTTTTTTCCTTTTTCACTCCGCACATGGTTTGCCATCTCTTCGCACTGTGCGAAGAGTTTATTTATTTATTTTTTAAAGCTCATGTACGAAGAGTTTTTTTTTTGCTCATGGCAGTTTATATTTACTTAAATTATTATTATTTTTTTAATGCTAGTGGCATGATGTGTGGAAGAACATTTGTTTGACATAAACAAAATGGAAAATAAAAAATGACATCATGCATAATAAAATTAGATTCATTTATTATTGCATAAATAGTAGACTATTCTTCCCCTTTTTTATTTTTTAAACTTCGCCCTGTACGGAGAGTTTGTCAACTCTTCGCACTGTGCGAAACTTTTTTTTTTTTACTCCGTACTGTAAGAAGAGTCCGCATAAAATGTCATATCTCCGCATTGTGCGGAGAGTTTTGCCAT